AGCGGCAGCAGCCGGCGTGCACTGAGAAAAATAAAATGAGTTTGTACAAAATGTGATATAGTTTCTGCACGTAGCATTAATACCTATTATTCCTTAATTCACATAGATCGAGTACAAACGCAAAATCTCACTGGGAACCATCTGGCAACATCGCCAGAGCTTGGGAACCAGAAGAGGGTCTATTCGATTTTAGACGAGATTATAATCGACTAGAAGAGGGTCTATGGTTACGCCTTCTTATCGGTCCAAAGTGGGTCTAAATGACCCACCCAGAGCAAAAAGTGCATCGCAATGCACAAATATTCACTAATTTCTGTGAGCGTACGTGCATGTTGCCTTGTTTGTGCCCCAAGCACGGACCATTTCTCAGGCGGGACGTGCAAGCAAGCACGCGCCACTGCCTGCATTCAAAGAACATAGCATCGCTCTTGGGACGCGGTTTATCAACAGCGGATCTGGTTGTTGGCTGCCCTAGACCATTGTTTGTAAACCTTCGTAACCAACACGATTCAACATCAAGAACAGGTCCGACGGCGGTCTTTTCATGCTGCAGTCATAGCGCTTGACTTGTTGCCATATCGGCTCCCTCAATTCTAATGTCCATCGAGCCTCGACTTGAGCGACCTTCAGTAATGAATCAAACCATTAGCGGTACGCCTTGGAGACCAATACTTGATAGCGGCTATTTCGAGGCTAATTTCTATATTATTCGGTGAAATTTCAGAAAATTCGATTCTTTATTCGTTGCATGAGCATAATTGCTTTGTATTTTTTTTCTACGAGGGCAGCTCTCTCATAAACACGACTGTAAGAACTCTGACTGGAGCGCTGTGCCGGAATTAACTGCACAAGCAATGACACGCAGGGTAACTTTTCTTGGCAGCGTTTGCGTAACTGAGAATTGAATTTAATATGATCGTCCCTATCCAATCCCATAACTTGACAGAGTCCCGCCTTATAATGTGATCTAAAATGTTGGAGAGGAAATTAAATTCGAGCTTTCCTAGTTCAACATCACAGATTCATGACATGAAACACACGAAATGGTTCTTTCTAAAGCTTGTTCATAGTCCGTTTCATTTTTTAGTTTCAATGAGTAAATTTTTTACTTGAATATCGAGCAAAACTTGATTTGTTGCAGGATTTTACATACTTACACGCTCGACTCCATTGTACAACTTCACTCTTATTGAAATCAACGTGCTACATTTCATTTACCGACTGAAAGCTTGAACCGCTCACGCTTCAAATAAGACCCTCCTCAGCAACACGTCACGCTCGAGCACTTTAATCCCCTCTCGTATATAGCTGGTCTAAATGCAGGCGTTTCCGGTCAAGTTAGAGACCAAGAACTGCATTTATTTTGCATGCTGTGTTTCTGTTTGTCTAGACGGTAACTTTATCTCTAGCCATAAATTAAGTTATGACTATGTATCATTCCTGAGTGTGTTAAGAATTTATTAATCGTGACCAGCAAACTGTTTTCCGGAGTTAATTATAAAATTTTATTAATGTCTCAAATGGAATTAAGCAATATTACCTCAAGTTATAGAAAGCACAGTAAATTATGCGTTATTAACCGATCCGTGAAGCTCTCTTCAGAAACGTTATATCAACGTAAGTTCGCTAAAATTCGATTTATTAACGTGCATCTATGCCAGCTTTAGATCCGTATAATCAATGCACTCAAGTCTATAAAAACATACAGTCGGCCAAGACTCTTAGACTTCAATTCTATTGAGTTTTCTTGCATACATGGAGGAACATTGAGCTGCATGCGCCCGCAGATATCTTTCACCAACGAGGCCATGCAGGGTACGTTGACTGTATGGTATATACCCAGCACAGCCAGCCATCTAGACTACCAACAAATTGGTGTGTCAACGCTGGCTGAAGCTAATGTACTACCTGCCTTGCTTTCTTCTTCTCTTTAGCTCGTGCTTTCTCTAATGAAATCTTCGCTGACAAGCTCTATCGCGGCTATATTTCCTTTCTACTCAAGAGCGCGCGCGTCGCGAGCTCCACAGTACCTTGCAGTTCAAATTCCCTGAACTCGATTTGAGGGGCCGCCAATTTTTCGCTTTTAAGGCACACGAATTGTTCGCTTACATGGGGCCACGAATATTTCTTTTATAGGGGTCGCGAATTTTTCGGATATAGAGGCCACGAATTTTTTGCATATTGAGCCACAAATTTTTCGAAAATGTTAGTTGTTAGCGAATTACAACTCAGCTCGAATGCTTAGAGCTAAACGAGAATTTTTTGTTATATTTGTCTCAAATCAGAAGAGTTCATAATAGCAGCTAAGTTACCGACTTGTCCAGAAACTTTTTGTAGGTTGTCTCTAACTGTGAAAGCGGTATTTGTTCTTTGGACCTACTTATCCCCAGATATTCTGTCCGGATGTCCATTTTATTTTTATTGTGAATTCAAGAAATACAAAAATTATTATTGGTTAATTAACTTAATTTAACATGCCAGAGATGAATAAACCTAATTAATTTAACATTTTCGTTATACAAAATTTAATTAAACGGATATTTCGTTTATAGTTTTTGTTGTGTATTAAGCCCTTTCTGATTAAGCCCTTTCTGATTAAGTGATCAAAAGGAAGCACCCAGAAATCGTTGATATAAAACGAAGATCATTTAAAAGGCTCTGTGGACAGGAGGTTTGACATAAATTCCACACGGATCACAATTATTAGCATCGTGTATCGACTCGGAAGTGTTCGGGCAATTATTCGCTCATTGTTTGGGCACTAAAGTGTGTCGGCTGTTTTGCTGGTACTCGTGTTGTTTCGCTCTATTTGTTGCCTTTAAACTGTTTACCTAGACAACACAGACGAGCGTTCTGTCCGTCCCGCAGCGTTACGAGCCGTCCGGATACGAGCCGTCCTATATCAACTGCCTTTCTCGAACAAACGAAGCAGGATTTTTCGTACATTATCATATAACTGTATGATTATCGAGTAATGTGGTATTTCACGCAAATAGTCATTGCCAAATAAAATAAGCTCTTAACCGTGATGGGTAAATTCGAATAATTCGGCAAGATTACGGACATGATTTATTGCAAAATTGTTAGACTCGTCAGTGGTCAGTTTATAGATGATTTCTGGCACTAGTAGATAAATTGACAGCTTAATGATCCCTTAGAGATGGACCAATTTTCTGAAAAAAATTTATTCCGCGAATGTTTCGAGTTGAGATGATTTTTCTATAGAAATCATTTCTTCAGAAATTATTCCACTAGACATCGAACGCAGAATTTTGCATTAATGTACGGAACGCAGTGCCTCCGCCGCTGCTTTGTGTTGGATGTTCATAGGGAGATGTGTAGGGAGGAAGGTTGGGGAAGTGTTGAATGTTCATAGGGAGATGTGTAGGGAGGAAGGTTGGGGAAGTGTTGGATGTTCATAGGGAGATGTGTAGGGAGGAAGGTTGGGGAAGTGTTGGATGTTCATAGGGAGATGTGTAGGGAGGAAGGTTGGGGAAGCAGAACTGGTGCAGCTGGTGCCGCCTATCACAGAGGAATCTGAGGGCTTCCCCAGACAGTTATGGGGCATTAGATGGCTGGGAGTTGGAGGGGGCGGGGCTCGAGGGGGACTGTCTTCCACACCCTCACTCGTAGTTCGACATTTCGAGTACGTGGGAATAATTCTCAAAATCTCACAAAAGTTGCCTGGTTTCATGTGCGAATGATAATAATTAATATTGAAATGAAAACTAGCTTGCACGAGTCGAGGAATTGAAATGTGCACGTTAGAAGTAACTTTCTATCTGATAACTATCAGTTTGAGACATAAAATTTTGAATTTTGGGCCACGAACCAAGAGAATAAAAGTTTGCAACCTTAAACAATTATAAAATAATTTGCACTAAATAGCTGGCGGTATTTATGCACAAGTTCAAAATGACAAATAGAGTTGACAACTTTGTGTAATTCTGGGGCTCATATATGCGCTACTTTCGAATTCTCTGATCTGCTAAGAATTTTTAATTTGCTGTGCAAATATTCTGAAAAAATTAATCAAATTTTTGGGATTAATTTTATTACCAAATAAATTATGGATTGAGTATGATTACAGTTTTATTTACGAATTAAGCATGCAAAGGCCGCCATTCGTAAGAAGCGGTCCGAAGTCGTGTAGATAACGGAGCCTCAGAGCGTCAGGTTACCTTCAGCTTTATACTAAGCTGGTCTCATCGAACATGCACTTTGCTATGCAAACTAACATTCTATCATGATTTATATGCGACCTCTTTCCTCCGACTCTAAACATGATTTTGCCTCAACAGTGGTAATTATTATATAGCCTCGTTCTACGTACGTGACCAATAACACTGTGTAGTATCGCATGCGATTAGTAAGTAAAATATTTCTGAATTGCACCGCCGACAGTCTTGACCTCGAGCGTCTAACGTGAATTCTGCATTTGGCGAATGCATGGGTAGGCCAAATTAAATTTGCTCACAACACCTTCAGCATTTTCAGATAATGAATAGCTGCAATTTTTTAACTTAGAAAACAAGCAAACCTTGCGAAATCGTACTCACTTACGAAATTGAGCGTGTAGCGATTGCAAAATTCTACAACTCGTTATTGGTGTTCACACAAGTAATTCAACCTTAACCGTTTTCAACAATTCGATAGAAAATCACGTACAAGGTGGGGCTAGAGAGAAATTTCGTGATTACTTTCTGTCACCTTTTATCATGAACCAGTTTGGATGATGAAAAGGAAAGAAACCTGAAGGCTGCTCGCCGCATGGCATGTTCTTGCTGCAGGCTTGTGACTAACCTGATTTGGTGGCAGTTTGAAGAAGGGAGTGTCGCGCTACGGGCTTCTGACTAGCCTGATCTTGAGGCAGGGCTAATGAAAGCACGACGGCTACAGCCTGCAGAAGGCAGGGTTGCGCTACAGGCTAGCCCACCCGATCAGGTGGGGTGACGGATAGAAGCTCGACGGCGGGAGCCGGAAGAAGGCAGGAGACTCACCCGATATGGTGTGGTGACGGATAGAAGCTAGACGGCGGGAGCCTGTAGAAGGCAGGGTCGTAGGCACTGGGGAGGTGGGGGCCGGGGTAGCGGTAAATGTTCTGGCGCTTCATCCGCTTTCGTCGTTTGTAGTTGCCGGGTTCAAACATCTCCTCGTGGTTGGGATCTGTCGAGTAAATGACAGCATTAATGTATTTCTCTTTTATTCGTATGAACATTCCACGAATTTTGTACAATGACATCTGCCACCTTGAATAAATAAGAACAATGAAATTTCAAAATTTTTATTTTGTTACGATTTCATAACTTAAAATAAATAATTATTGTAACAAATCACGGTTTATAAATTATTCTAAGTTCCGTACATATTAACAATATCAATAGAACGACAAACTGCAGCGTCTAACATATCCAGCGTTACCTTGACTTGCACTCACACAGGATCCAGTAGTTTCCCTGCTAAATGTACCGCGGCGCCTTCATTTGTAAGTATTGGCTTTGCCGTCACTACCACTACCTACTTTGGTATCGCCTTCACTGCCACTGCCTACTTTGGTATATCACCCAGGGTCCAGTACATTTCCTACAACATGTACCGCGGTGCCTTCACTTGTACTCACCCAAAGACCAGTAGTTTCCCCACAAAATGTACAGCTGTGCCTTCACTTGTACTCACCCAGAGTCCAGTAGTTTCCTTACAACATGTACCACGGTGCCTTCACTTGTACTCACCAAGGGTCCAGTAGTTGCCTTTGCCTCCTCCCGCTCCTCCCTCGCGAGCCACCTTGATGAAACACTCGTTGAGGCTGAGGTTGTGTCGGATTGAGTTCTTCCAGCCCTGCTGCTCTTTGCTTTTCTGCTTCGCGTAGTACGGAAAGTTCTGCGCTATCCACCGATAGATGTCGCTCAGCTGGCGAAACAAGCGACGAGTTCTTTTAGTAGAAATTTTTATATTGATTTACATGAAGGTCCAGTTGCTAGAATGCTAATACTAATTTAATTAAAAATCTGTGTTTTTAAAATGGGCGTTCTTTGTGCAAACGCATTCTTAGTAGAAGCTTGTTTTAATAATAAACTTTTTTTTATAATTTTGATTTGAAAAAGTAAATTCCGCACTTGTTAACAATATTCCTTCGTTAGCTTTTTTCTCGGCAGTAGAAATGAAAAACTACGATATTTAAAACTTCATAGACAAACTGAACTAATTAAACAGACTTTAGGACTTGGATTACCTATTAATACATATCACTCACATTCTACCATCAGGTGCTCTACAGTATCCTTCACACCCTCATCTCGTATAAAACATTCATCTTTTGTCTCCTCACTCCATCGGAATAAACGTTACATTCAGACACAGCGCCCTTGTGAGTTGTCCTCACACTGAACAATATTCCCCACCTCTGCCATCATTGTACAAACATTCATACTTTGGTATTGCCTTCACTACCAATACCTACTTTGGTATTGCCTTCACTACCACTACCTACTTTGGTATTGCCTTTACTACCATTACCTACTTTGGTATTGCCTTCACTACCAGGAGTAGATACTACAGGCACTAATACTAATTTTTAGCGTTGAACTCAAGTGCGATTTTTTAGTTGCAAAATTGCGGCATTAATGCAGTGTGACTTAATTTTTGTGACACGGAAATTTTTCTCATACTATGGACAAGTATACAAGTAAATAAGAAAATATGATTATAATACACGTTACTAGGATATTGTATCATTTCAACGCTATTTAAATTGTCATTATAATCTAAAATGTGCCATTTATTCTATACTATTAATTATAAACATTAGAAATCAGAGAAACATTTTACAAATAAAATTTATGGACAATCATTTTATGCAAGACTAATCACCATTAATAAACTTTCCCGAATTTTTATTTTCAATTTAAATTTTCCTTTATTTCTTTATTGAAACAAATTATCCATTCAATTACGTGCTTGAATTGTCAAAAACTTTTTAAATCTCAGTTAAAATTTCGTCCTTAAAAATTACATTATTTCGAGACCAACCGTTATTGCATTATATCGAATAAAGTGACCAAGTACTAATTATATTTTCTGCGCTATAAAAGAAATAGAAGGTCAGGAATTTCTCGTGACCCAGATGAAAAGCAAGGCATTCTTGCTGTTCTTTCTCTTATTAGGTTACGGGTTCGTCAGCGATTTTTATTTGTTAAACATCGCAGGTATTTCTGCAGCCTTGCACGGACTATCTTTACTAATGATAATTTTTTTAAAACTTTCATTCTTGCCAATCATTTCCTAATCATGTCACTATGACTTGTGACATTTTGGAGCAGTTTTTTATTTGCTTAAAATTAAGGATTCTATGTAAAATAATGACATTGCTGTGCAGTGTGCACTCAACACGATCATTGCTGGATTTGCGGTAAATGTTTTTCCTAAATAACACAGGAAGTTGTGCCATGGTGACTCTTGTGGATGTTTTCCGTATTATTGGTTTATTATTTATTTATTATTTATTTATTATTTGGTACCTCTTCTGACATAATAAATTTTTGAAATCAGGTAACTTAGATTAATCAAAATAAATTTGTATAACTGGTTTTGTGTGATTGATCTTAGCATACAACTGGTGATCACAAAGCATCATTAGTTGTGCTTTCCTTGGAGAAATTCAATAGGGACTCTAAATACCTTCATAATTACATGATGTCACAACAGGCGCGATATACCTCACTTGTTTCCATAGCTGTACGAACGAGTCAGATTAACGTCCTTTATTAATAGTGGATGAGAATAGAATACTTTTTTTAAGTAATAGTAGTAAAAATAGTAGCGTTATTAGTTATCATTGCCAGTAATAGTATATTAATATTACAAGTAGTTAGGAGTACAGTAATATTAGTGAATGCAAATAAGGAAACATAACTCACGAGCAGCCTCCTGTCCTTGCTGGCTTTGATGGCCATGGAGATGAGTGCCACGTACGAGTACGGCGGCTTAGTCAAGTTCTCGTTCTTCTCATCTTCTTTATCTTCGGCTGTTTCTTCCTGTTCATAGTTCAATTATAAATTAGCCACGCTTATTGTTATTATTTCTAATTATTACAATTCCACTATTCTCCCTGTGCAGGACTAATCATTTACTAAATTAAATTAAGTATTAATTTTGTAATCTTAGTTTTTTTTAAACTGGCACCATGAAACAATTTTTTCCCCAGCTTGAGAGACATGAAAAATGTCTTGAAATGTAGTCCTTCATTTCTTCGCATCGTGGCAATTATTTCTACAGATAACTAGTTGAACATCATTCAAATAACAGCTGGTCTTTCTCATTTCGTAATATTTTGGTAATTGCTAATTTGCAATCTTTTTATATGAATTAATTATTATCAAGATGGATTAATTATAATCAATATTAATTAGTAGAGTTGCATGATAAGCCAACACATATTTTCCCGCTGATATTGCCATATGTTTGCTATGCTATGTCTGCTATGCTATTGCTATGCTATGCTATATGCTATGTCTGCTATGTGCTATGCTATATGTCTGCTATGCTATTGCCCTGTGCTATGCATCAACCCCTCAGCCATGTGATACCTTGGAATCTCTGCCTCTGAGGCTATATACGTTACCATGCCTCTGCATGTCACCAATCATCATCTTATCGTACTATACTCGAAATTTTCTTTATCGCTTTAAGATAGATAACATTAAATAACATATTTATAACACGTTGTTGCGTAGAAACTAAAATTTGCGCCGTCTCCGCACGCTTTCGAAACTCAAAAGACCCAAAATTTATTTGAGTAATGGCGGTAACTTGTCAGTATGATGTGACATCGTATGAAATTTAGATAGTATCATTTAATTATCTAATTTATTTAGATCAATTTAATTAACCTTAAATCAACGAATTCTCTGGTCATTGATCGCACGCGTATAAACATACACGTGTAAATATATACATCGCACGTGTAAATATATACATATATATATGCACAGATATATTTGTTAATTTGTCACATTTAGTACGAAGGTACTGTCTAGTCTAAGGGTTTGATTGTCAATATCATAATTTTATAATTTGAATTACGAATACTGAATTCTCAATTTTATTGCGAACTTATCATTGATGAACTCAGTGTCATCTCCTTGGTTTTAAAGTATCATTATGGCCAAATTCACGTCTTTCATTTGTTTTTCAATCTGATAAATTTTTAGCCTCATTACCCACATTTCTTTGCTTAGGCAATATACACTTAGTGAACATTATTTTAAGTGAATGCTTCAATTATTTTGTTAAAATAGTTTAATAATTCTTTACTGAATCATTGACATTCGATAACTGAATATTATCTTCAGGTTGTAATTCGCTAGTTGCCTAAATCGTGCACATTACCTTAATTTTCTCCTTGGTTTGCTCTTCGTCGACGGGGCTCGTATCCTCCATTTTCTCCTCGTCATCCTTGGGGCAGACCTCGATATCTGACTTGTTTAATCTTCCAGACCCTGACGAATTTTCATGAGGGTTCACTCCGTTAAAATTTGTCTGATAATTTTCCATTGGCTCGTAACCTTTCCTGGACGGCGTGAACTCTTTTTTGCACATTTCATCGTCACGAATTAGTAATGGATCTTCCGTTTCCTCTTGTCTCTTTTCCGAGTCGTCTAATTTTTCCATGTTTTTGTCCTGGTCTTCAGTGGAAGAATACATTAGTGGTGAATAAACTGACTCTTGATGGACGTGATTATTGACTCTAGAAAATATGTTGGAGTACGGCTTGCCGATATTAAGACTTCTGTGGCTTTGAACTAGATGATCGTTCGAGGTCGGCTGCATGTCATTTAGGTACGAAGCTCGACCTATGCTCGATTCTACCCCTAGTAAATGATCTGAGTACTGAGCTCTATTCCTTGTATCTAAATTACTTTCCATTGGATTTTGGTTGTACAAGCTAACGTTGCTGCCGACGTCGAGTACGTGCTGATGGTACGGTGATCTAGTTGTATCGGTTTCTATATTACTGGAATGATCAAGACTTTCAACGCATCGGTGATCCAAATGATGATCCATGGACTCAGTGACACCTCTTATCCTGTCATCCAGGCTACCAGGTAAGTCGTTGGGGTAACTTGGCTGTTCCAAATTGTTGTTGTGGTGATGAATGAGGTTGTTGTTCTCAAGGCTGTGGTGCAGATGGTACGAGGATGCAATAGTTGTGTTCGCGTCATGGTTTAGCGGTAATGTCGACATATACAAAGACTTGTCGTAGATGTTACTGGAAAAGAAGAGAATAGAAATTCAATGACACAGTCCACACTCATATTTGAAATATTATTAATATTTGAAATATAATACCAGCACACACCTGTAATGCTGGGTGAGGTACAATGCAATAACCCATACCATCCCCCACCTGTAATGCTGGGTGAGGTACAATGTAATAACCCATACCAGCACTCACTTGTAATGCTGGGCAAAGTACAATGTAATAACCCATACCAGCACACACCTGTAATGCTGGGCGAGGTACAATGCAATAACCCATACCATCCCCCACCTGTAATGCTGGGTGAGGTACAATGTAATAACCCATACCATCCCCCACCTGTAATGCTGGGTGAGGTACAATGTAATAACCCATACCAGCACACACCTGTAATGCTGGGTGAGGTACAATGTATTAACCCATACCAGCACACACCTGCAATGCTGGGTGAGGTGCAATGTAATAACTCATACCATCCCCCATATGCACCTGCAATGCTGGGGGAGGTAAAATGTAATAACCCATACCACCCCTCACCTGTAATGCTGGGCAAAGTACAATGTAATAACCCATACCAGCACACACCTGTAATGCTGGGCGATGTGAGCCTCTGACGTGAGGTACGAGGAGCTGTAGTGGTCGTCTTCTTGTTTGATGGGGTCGAGCCTGTCCACTCCTCCCGCCACCGGCGGCGCAAGGCTCGAGTTCACCATCATTGATCTGCCAGCGAAACATCAAAGCCTTCGTTAGCCACTGATCCTTAAATATTATGATGAGTTTGTTCTTGCATCGCGCAAATTACTGAATCTAAATGAGCATTAATAACATCATTAAGTTATTTGGTTTTGCAAGTGAGTGATTGAGATTGGGTGGATGAATAAGTTTCCGCTCTGCATCGCAAAAAATTGCATCACCGAAATAGGTAAAAATCACTTAGTGACTATATCACGTTTTTCATGTATTGAAAAGATTTCGCTTTGCAAAGCAAAAATGACAACACTGAAATGAATTTTGAAATCACTGTTTTGTCGAATTTTGAGCTGATCATTTGGCCGGTCATTGAAACGTTTTAAACGAAAATATGTTGAATTTTTTTTTTGTTATTTTATGTCATTCGAAATCCTTCAAAGGATCTCTGCTTCATGGGAATAATACAAATTTTTAAAAAATAAAACTAAAAAATTCTTTGGGAACCAGGCTAGTTTTTACATTACTGGTGAGAACAATTGCAAACGATACATATATAAGTTATATGGTGTACAGCACTAATTTGAAAACCTTTATGTGATGTTTCTGCCTGAAATATTCATTGCAATTATTTTTTGTCAAAATGGGTCATTTTGTAATCCGCGTTGCCGAAAAATAACGTAAATACAAACTTTAAAGGTCGATTTTTCTGTGTTGTAGATGATATATTACGGGCTAAAAAATTACTAAATCTTTCTTTTTTTGAGTCCCTATGCTATTAAAAGCCGTCGTGAAATTCCTGCCGCGTCTTTCGCTGATCCCAGCCTCCTCGAGTTGCGCTCCGTAATCCCCGTACGCGGCGCTTGCTCGCCCGCCTCACGCACCGCAGTAAGCGAAACCTGCTTGCCGTGCATCCCTACATCTGTCGTCCCGTTGTGATACTTGTTGTTACGTTAAGTGTTCCCATTTGTATGTGATATTGCTTAGCGATACTTGTTGTTGCGTTAACTGCTTGTTATTACGTTAACTGTTCACATTTGTAGTAACGTTGCTTTGCTATGCTTGTTATTACGTTAACTGTTCACATTTATACGTGATATTGCTTAGCGATACGTACGTGTTATTACGTTAACTGTTCACATTTGTATGCGATATTGCTTTGCTATGCTTGTTATTACGTTAACTGCTCACATTTGTATGTGATATTGCTTAGAGATACTTGTTATTACGTTAACTGCTCACATTTGTATGTGATATTGCTTAGCGATACTTGTTGTTACGTTAACTGTTCACATTTGTATATGATATTGCTTAGCGATACTTGTTATTACGTTAACTGTTATCGTTGCTTAGCGATACTTGTTGTTACGTTAACTGTTCACATTTGAATGTGATATTGCTTAGCGGTACTTGTTGTTACGTTAACTGTTCACATTTGAATGTGATATTGCTTAGCGATACTTGTTACGTTAACTGTTCACATTTATATGTGATATTGCTTAGCAATATTTGTTATTACGTTAACTGTTCACATTTGTAGTGACGTTGCTTTGCTATGCTTGTTATTACGTTAAATGTTACCATTTGTATGTGATATTGCGTTGCTATGCTAGATACTACGTTAACTGTTCTCATTTATAATGATGTTACTTTGCTATATGCTGCTTATTACGTTAACTGTTCTCATTTATAGTGACGTTTCTTTGCTATGCTGGTTATTACTTAAACTGTTGCCATTTATATGGATTTATTACGAAGATCTTTTGCTATAAGTAGTGAATTTTTATTATGAAGCAGGGCAAACGAGATCTATCCTTTCGTTATTATTCCAGGATACGTAACCGAGATTTTCTATTCTAGTTTTATGAATAGCTTGTACAAAGATATGTAGTAAGTCATAAAGCTTGTCGACGGGCAGAAAGTTGCATATCTATTGATCGTAATTAGCAATGAAGGTATCAGCAGTCGATACGCATATGCATTCTTTATTGTCGACACTAAAAATTGGCTCGCACTTTATTGTTGACCCTGAATAATTTCAAGAACAATATTATAGAGGCAAAAATATCATTTCGTTAGTCAATTAGCTCATTTATTTTGTTCAACTTAATATTTTTATAATTTCTTGGCTTTATAACATCTTCATCACACTTTTTGGAGAATGTTTCTCTACTATTTTTATGTATTTATTCTACTATATTATGTATTTATATTTTCTAATTATTATTGTTGCTTAATTAATATTTTTATGTAATAACCCAAACTAGTGTAATTTCTTGATCGAGGTAGATTGGTTGTATGAAATAACGCCCAAACTAATGATTAATTTGAAACAAATGAGCTTTTAATTAGCTAGCAAGGCCCGTTTGGACTTTATTTCGATAGTTGAGAAAAGCGAAATTTATTGAAAAATAACTTGACTTGCATCCCGATTTTTAATGTACCTTCTTTGATATTTACACGTGTGCGGGAATGACATGCATGCTCACGGGAATGTCATTTGTTCCGACGTGTGGTTGAAGTTTAAAATTATAGAAATGGACATCTTGATTAATTTTTGTTCATATCAGCGGAAGAATTTACATTATTAATTTATTAAGTTTAAATATTCTTATTTAATTAATTATTTTTAAATTTTCAGGGAAAGATTTATTAAGAAATCAAATTATTATTATTAATAAAATTTAACTTTTATACTAATCAAAGCTCATTAAAAACTGTCTAATTATATTTATTTTATGAAAAAATCAAATAAAATATTTGCTATAATCTAAACGGTAGAAAAATCATATTTGAAGAAAAATCCTATTTGAAGCCCCGATTATTCTGGTGAGTCTTTCATCATCTACGTCGATGCTTGCAAAATCCCAGCTGAATTTAGTGTTTTTCTCTTGGTCACGTTTTATGCCAGCTCCTTTCTCAGGAAAGCTGAGCAAGCGAAGTCTTTGAAGTTACTACGTCTTGTGGTTTATTTTTAATGAGAAATTTTTCGTGTCCATATTTACGAGCTGGTTTTCACTCAAATATTGCGTAAGGTACAAAGATTTAATTAAGGTGACTACATGTAATTTTTTATGTCAATAACATTTACGAAAATAACATTTCCTAAGCTGTACTCTTTTGCCGAGCTCTGAAGATAATCTAAGCGGGTTAGCATTTTCTTCTACATAAAATTGTAAGCTGAACATAACTTTGGCAAAATTCTAATGATGTTTCACTCTAATTAATGGATAGGAGAAACCTCAAAAATGGACAATATCCAATTCACAAAGGATATTCACCTCCCGTAATAATATGTTAACGCGTTTTCCTTCATGTCCCAAGCCACAAGCAAACAAGTGAAAGTAATCGCTTAACAAGATCTATCGCTGTGTGTCGACCACAAGTTCTTCCATTTGCGTCTTCGCTGACCTCAGCATTTACATCAGCGCCTTCTCATGCTTTTTTTAAATTGACGTGCCGATATGTGAGCATAGAATGATTGACCTCATCATGACTCAGGCGCTGGCGCCAGTATGGGGCAGCTGCTGAAATGATTTTTCAATCAATTGTTTATTGCGTTGAAGTTCTTTCCCTTTTATGGCATGGAATTTTCCATGTGTTGATTGAATTGCACGTGTGGTTCCTGGTTATATTTTTTGTCTTAAATTACACCCAGATTTTTTAATATTTTGTACTGCTGCATTCTTATTGGAGTAATGCAAGCAAACATTATTGATCTTATTAATAAGTAGTCAGTTCATGTTTCTATAAGCTTAATTAATTTAAGCATATTCTATTGCGCCTTTCTTAAGTCCGTGTTTCACGTTCTAACTATTCTAAGAGTGCAGGTTTTAATTATGATTTTCATCCATTTTCCTATCACAGGAAAAACTCATTTCGTTCCAGATTTCTAAGAAGCAATTTACTTAAGTTTCATTAATGTCAAAAGTACAATCAAATGCCGGTGAAAGCGACACAATGTTTTTCGACAATAAATTTATTTTTAAATCGACTTTAGAGCAATAAAGTTGTACTAACGTAAAATTTGGTCGTCCGAGGTATATATTTATGGCCGATATTAATTTGAAGCTTTCATTCAGTAATACGCACAAATTTAGTTATTTTGTGTATCGAAGGTACAAAATTAATTAACGCTAATATTTTTTTAGCCCGGTTACTTCATTGAATGTCTGGCACTGCATTGAGGAATGTGAACTTTATCTGGCATAAGTTTTTTTTTCTTGACTCAACCAAGTTCGGGTTAATTTATTAATTATGTTCATTTATGTGTACTTTAAGATTATTGACTCGAACGAATTTCTGATAACCAGATCCATCTAGCAGGTCCAGTAAACTCATACAGTAGGAAACTCGTACTCAAAACATGTTGTTGTTAATTGATTCAAGATTGTTTTCGAGTACTACCACGTACAGTTTATGGCTGTGATAACTCAAATCCCTGCTATAATCTCTGCAATCTTATGAGAGCGTGAAGAGCTATGCTATTTATCGTGCCGTGCAAGTGGCCACACTGCTCGCTATTTGAGCGAGTGCATTCGTAGTGCTATAACGAATGTTCTTTATGGGCTCAGCTCACCTCCTGTTTATTCAAAAGTCACGAATACGATCGCATAATTTTTGCTCGGTGATTGGGAATTCATGGTGTTGCCCGCTTGCCCTCACCTTGTTCCGATTAAAACCCTTGAATGCGATCGAATAATTTCGGTCCATTGCACACAAATTTGCAGTATTTCACAGCAAGTCCCTTCCTTCATTTATTAGTTCATCGTCGAGAGCAACAAACTCTTACTCTAGTTTAATAATATGACTGCAGTAGTTATTGGGTTTCAGTTCCCAAAAACCTTGTTTGTTTTATCCCCGTTTGTTTTTTCCCTGGCTTGTTTGTTTTTTTCCCCCGAGAACCAAATCCTTCTTGCTCCAAGATGAATGATATTTGGCTTGCTCGATCGGATCAATGGTTATCCGATCGGTAACTGCTGGGCTTATGACGAATTGTGCAATATTTTTATTTCTATTATATTCGTTTTTGG